TGGTTTTTTCTCATTTTGTCTTCAATCGAGGACCGCCTGCCCGGTACTGACGATGCCCAATAGGCTGAAACAGCTGTATACCGGTGGCTCTTAAATTGAAATCAATATGGGAACGATCAAAGACTACTTATCTATTTATTTTTTGATTTTCATGGAATTACTTTCCAGCAGCTTGACTGCATTAACCTTTCTAGATTATATATATAAGATGAATACCTACCTATTTTTTTCGTATCACACCGTTATTATATTCTTTATATATTTTAAGTTATTGACATACCATATGTACATACTGTACCACAGTGGCAAATAAATAAATAAATAAATTACATTATTAACATCGTCTTAAAACTTCAGAAATGTTTTCTATTCACTCAAAAAAAAAGTTTCCAACTACACATTTTTGATTAAGAAATCGGAATTTTCCGAATTAAACTGCAAAATTAATTTGAAGAAAAAAAATTATGCCAAATACCTACTTGAATGATATATGATGGAAAACCTGAAAACAAAACTCAAATTCATATCACTTTTCGTCTCATTCAATTTCAATTGACACTCGCTCAGCTCCTAATAAACGCCATAAAAGGTTATAACGCCTACACTGTCTGGCTCGACAGACAGCTAAAATGGGACGTGACAGAAAACTTTACATGAATCTACCATTTACAAGCTAAATTTATTAGTTGCTTGAAATGATTGCATTTGTTTCAGATGGCGTCTCAGTACAGGCTATTTTCATATCAAGAACGAACGTCAAAGTACTAGATGGCGCGCGAAATTGCTTCAAACGATTTTATTACAGGCGCTTTATATTATGAGGTCACTTGCTGTTTTCCTACATGATTCAGTTTTATCATTATTAATGCTTTTAAATTATAATACGATGTTCTATCTGAAGAACATTGTTAATTTATATTTTTTTTCAGGGACTCACAAAAGATAATTGTGAATAAGCCAGTAGGTCACATGCTGAGAACTGAAGCGCAGACTCTGATGAATTCAATGTTATTCATGTTCATATAGCAACTCTACTTGTTTACAGTTTTATTTTTCGATTGTTCAACTGACAATTATAATGTTATGTGATGTTTATTATCACAATTAATAAACACATCGACTATCAGTATAGAAAGTGACTATTGCAATCATCTCAACCGTACTACAGACCCTATACTTATAATCTTTTTTTTGAGAACCTCTAGACTCTAGACTGTCAGACACTCAAAATATTACAGGTAGATTGCCGAGTCTCCCCAGGAATAAATTTTTTCTGTCTTTAAGGGTCAAACAAATTGATTACTTATAAACCTGTATAATTTTTGGGAAAGAAAGTTTTTGGCTTTCTACTACTCCATCTTGATAAAAAAAATGTGGGAATCTTCCAAAGAAAGGAAGGAAGTAATCAATTTGAAAATAAGTAACTCTATACATGGATGTGTAGATCATACAAAGAAGCAACTTTCAGGAACAAACTGATAGAAAGCCCTCCTGAAACAGCTACTTTCATATAAACATTGAATTACACGAAAGAAAATAATTCTTCGAAACAAATACTTTTACATGAACACTGAATTATACAGAAGATACTTTTCTCTACTCAGTTTGTATTCCCACATTTTTTTATATCAAGATGGAGTAGTAAAAAGCCAAAAACTTTCTTTTCCAAAAATGAATCACTCCTATAAAATATAACCCCTTCAATTCAAATAAGATTCCTCTTGGCTGGGTTTTAATCAAATAGGTGAATGAATGTACTACGATGTCATCGATGACATAAGTTGATCAAACTTATTCCGTGACATTAAAAATCGTAATTCACGAATGAATTGTCTGTATTTTCTATAATGTTATCCAATTTGGTACTGACAAGCCCTAAGGCAAGTGTCTTATAGCGAAACATCGATGTATATCAGTGAGGATGACAGTGTTCCATGTAAGTGCAATTTATTACCATTCATTTAAAGTAGAACTCCTGTGAATGATATCTGAATTTCATTCCAAACGAATGTTTGGAATATAAACTGAGTAGAGAAAAGTATGTTATGTATAATTCAGTGTTCATGTAAAAGTATTTGTTTCGAAAGAATTTTTTTCTTTCGTGTAATTCAATGTTTATATGAAAGTAGCTGTTTCAGGAGTGCTTTCTATCAGTTTGTGTCTAAAAGTTGCTTCTTTGTATGATCTACACATCCATGTATAGAGTTACTTATTTTCAAATTGATTACTTCCTTCCTTTCTTTGGAATATTCCCACAATTTTTTGTATCAAGATGGAGTAGTAGAAAGCCAAAAACTTTCTTTCCCAAAAATTAATCACTCCTAAAAAATATAACCCCTTCAACCTATATCATCTTAGACACGTACCTATATTTGTGAAGCTGAAGAAATGTTGGCACTCGAAATATATTGAGTAGATTACAAATATTGTGAATAATTATAGGCTTCGTGTTAAATTACGTTACTTCCAGATTCCAATTACACGAAGAAGAGTTTCCTGACGCCAGAAAGTGTGACTAGAAATATGTAGCAACCTTCACGTTAATTCAGTGAAATGGTTACATTTGAAGCCAATTTCAAATATGTGTAAGGGCAATCAAAAAAAAAACTGATAGGTATATATACCTCTTCCGGATTATAGACCCTGATCTGGAAGGACTGGAAACTCTTTCAAACGTATCTGATACTTCTTCAAGTTCTATTGCTTTGGAATTATCGGATTGGTAAACTGGTTTCTGGCAAGTTGATTCAATGTCCATTTCTGCTTTCAGTTGTGGAAAACAATTATTGTAATCTGTTATACAGAGTGCTGGTTGGCAAGGGATTAGTTTCATAACAGGTCGGTTATTGTGAACACTTATTGGAGAGGAGCAGAGTGTATCTAAAACCAAGAAATGAAAATTGACCCAAAATCAAGATAGAATATTATCAAGAATAAAAGTAATTACTTTTTACTGAAATTGAGACCCACCTTCGAATTGAGTAATGGGGTCCAAAATTTTTTTTTGGCCATAATTCAATCTTGTTGGATCTTCATAAAAATTGAATATGGATGGAACTGCTCCCTTTTTCAAATACTTCATCCCTTTGTTATTCACAACATAATCTTCTTTTCTAAAATGTCTGCTGCAAAGTGTAGCATAATTTGAAGGGTTGTAACCTTTTCTCCTCAAGGATGCTACCCATTGTTTCCTAATAATTTCATCCTTTGGGAATCTGTTAACATAATTATTTCTCTTAGTATACCCTTCTTTGGGAAAAACATACAACATAATAAAATGTATGTAGTAAATGAGTCATAACCTCAAATAGTTTTTCATCTCACCTATGAAAGGATATATCACCTTCTTCTTTATTGTATCTAACTGTACAATTATAAGCCGCACAAGAAGCCACCATATTATTATGAGTTTCATATAAACAAAATTCAATAAGTAATAGAACATATAAGAGCCTTGCAAAAGACACAGCAATCCATATAGTGCACAAACCACCTATATAGTGTCGGCACATCTGTGGTGTCGGAATACTGTTCCTTCCAAGAGTTCCAAGTGCCAAAGACCAGAGAACAGAGAACACTCATATATTTATTCTGTGACTTATATGAAAGACTATTCCTAACCCAAGTCACAAAATTAACTTTCAATCATGAAATTTGTCTTCATTCTATACAAATCTGATCGGTTGGTTAGTGGCACTCGATCGGCAAACATTCTTTTTTCTCAGTTACATCTGATATGTGTTCTGTATTTACAATAGCTCAACTTACAATAGATCAACTTTACGATTAGAGACAGTTTTGAAATGTCCTCATATTTAAAATAGTGGTTGTATTTCAGCTTTTTTTTTGGTGAATCATTTTTTTTTCTTACATTCTCATTGACTTAATGATGCCTTCTTTAACCCTAGTCATTCGAAAATAGGTAGTTGCAAAAAATGTTCGCTGAAACGTCGAACAATGCAAACTGTGAGCGCGATTCAACCCGAAATTCAGGATGTTCAAATTTCTAGCCGCGGAAACCATTTGTATACTTATCTAGTGATGTTTCGAAGACTCTATCCATCTTCATTATCAAACCCACGATCAATTTGATATTACCAGTGTCAATAATAAATTATCAAATTGATTTACTTCAAAAGACGAATTATAACTACAAATTATAATGTTTTGATTCAAATAGGTTGGATATATAAAGGAAATCGATAGTCTTTAAAACGTCACCAGATGATATATATTTATTTTTATGTGCAAAATTTTATAACTTCAAATTACTAAAAAACTAGATTTTTTTTCAAAATCCTAATTTATTTACTACATTTGTTTGTTTTTATTTTTAAATTAAATATTCTGATTATTTTATAGATCTGTAGAATGTAACAATCCTGAATAAAAAACTATTTCAAATATAAATGGTCCTTCTCAAAATAAAATTTTTGAGCTAAATTAGGTAGTTATTTTCACAATATTTCAATTATCTTCGCATCTTGCAGAATATATCATTGGAAAATTTATATTAATACCCCCACCCCGACGCCTATCAATACTATATTTATCGCGATATGATAAACATCGTTGGCCACCTCTTTTGAAGTTCTTTGTGGCAAGTCACTATTTTAATAGCTCCTTATTAGCGGCGTCCTCAAGAGGCATAGCGGGTACAAAAATCTCAGTGACTTTGTGGATGAATTACAGTGTCACTTGCTTGAGATGACTGTATTACTTCCTTTGATGTACCGGCATTTTTGTATTCTTGAAATTCATTCACTTTCAGTTAATACCGAATGGACTATAACGCTATTCAAATATAATTCACTCCGTTGACTTTATGATCACGTGGTATCAAGTCAATATCTGCTCGCTTTCTTCCAGATTTTTGAAACCGAACATACCTACTTAATTCAAGAGCCGCCGATACCGATATACAGCTTTTTCAGCATATTGGGCAATACCGGGCAGGTGGTCTCCGATTGAAGACGAATTGTGAAAAATCAGGAAATCAGAGGGAGTAAGTATTTCATCAATATCACACCCAAGATAACACCTCAATATATACAGGGTGTCCCTTATAAAACTCCGCGTGCAAATATCTAAAAAATTAAAAAGAGTATCCATATTTCGTGAAAGCAGATAATTTTGGTGTCAAAAGGTCCTCTTATTTACGTAGAGATCCAGCACTAGGCGTCATACGTTAAGGCGTCGCGACACCGATGCCAATTTTTTGACATGGTAACCCAATATTTTCAATTGGTTTTTGAATACTGCATTAAATTTTGATTTCAGCCATATAGTACACTTGTAGTTTTCCTTTGAATACTGATAACAAAAGGCAATTTTATTGCGTATTAATAAAGATGGCCATGAATAAGTCAAAATAAATGCAATAATGTATTTATCGATCTGTCAGAAGACCTGTCAGATTTGACGAAAGTGTATTCAGTTTTGTGTTGGTTTTTCGTAAAATTGAAAAATGGTTCAATTTTCAAATGCAGAAAAGTTGGATATAATATGTATTTATGGCGAAGCAAGAAGGAATTCAAAAGAAGCTGTGAGAATATACGCTAATCGGTATCCTGACAGAAAATTACCGTCAGACAAAACATTCGCTGGCTTAGCCAAATCTTTGGCACGAAATAGATGTTTTAATGAACGGAAGCGAAGAAACCAAAAACGGCTACTGATGAGAATCACAGTGTTGCAGTGCTAGGTCAAATGTTATTGGAACCACATAGTTCCACCAGACAAGTAGCAACGAATTGTGACATTTCTAAATCGTCAATACAACGTATTTTGTCAAAAAACAAATTCCATACATACAAAATACATTTGGTTCAAGGACTACATCCAAGTAATAATATTCATGTTTCATTTTTAATAACTAAAATATATTCCCATATTCAGGAGGTGCTGATAGAAGATTGAACTTCATTGCATGGTTATCCATCCGTATTCATGATCAGTTTCTGAAAAAAATATTATGGAGTGATGAAAGCCGTTTCCATAACAACGGTATAATAAACAAACATAATTGTCACTATTGGTCTGACCAAACCGCCGAGGGCTCTTGCGAGACACCTCTACCACACATCTAGCTTGAAATCGGCCAACGCCTGTTGCCCGCAGATGCGGGATAGGGTAGTTGACCGATAACTTTACTGAGTGAGTGCCGTGTGGTCTGCACCGGAGGACTGTCAAACACCCATAAGAGAGAGACAGTGCCCCCCCGCCACTCACCCCGTTATGTTATGTAATTAATTATAGGGAATAATTTTATAGAAAATATCATTATTATCATCATCAGAAAAGGCTAAATATTTCACCTGAACTCTATAGTACCCTATTTTCAAGCAGACAGCCATACAAACCCAAAGAGCCATCACACAGTACTAAAAAACATAATTTCTTAAGCAAGTTTAGTTCATTCCGCCAACTTCTTTCGCATTAAAATAAACCAACAGCCTATCAGCCAAATTTATCTGGAAAAACAATAATACTTTTTAATTATATAGCAAAAGTAAAGTCCACAGATTAGGCAGAACCAATAAATTTCGCGAGTGCCGTGAAAAAGACGCGTATGACAACTTGGCAACGGTAGTTGTGTATTGAGGAGATTGTTTTTTTTGTAAGATATTGGTGAATGAGTTTTTTGTACCGGCATTTATAAAATCATCAAATTGTAAAGAAAAACCACAAAAACTAAGCAAAATCCAAGTTATATCCTCTCAAGAAAGGTTCACTATAGCAGGGTAGTAACATTTTCACCTGATGAGCAGATCCAGAGAAGAAAATCCTTGTTGAAAAACTTCACCACTCCAGACCACATCGTCACCTGCATTTGCCAAGGTATTTATTCCATATCATCGTTCGTGGAGAACTTCCTTGAATTTTTGAGGTATTTATTTGAAGCCTGAACTATTACAACAGTTTTCTTCAAACATTCAAAATCGTGCAAAGCAAATAAACTTTCATTTCCTCGCACCAATTTCCTAGAGAACTTTTTTACGCCCTTCTTCCGCACTTTCAAGTCATCTATATTCGTTATTGACTGCTATTTGTAAAATTTCATAATTTTCTGTAAAATTTTCAACATAATCAAAGAATAACTCATAATTCTTCAACAGTACGTTTAGAAATCTATCCCGAGCAGAACGCTCTCAAGTTTGTTGAATATTCTGATAGAGTGCGTTTCATTTATAGCTTGACTCGGAACTTAAAATTCTTTGGTTATTAGCATTCAGTTAAACCTGATATTAGCAAGCCAATAGATAAGTTATATAGCGCAGAGTAGGTAAATATAAGAACCACATTTGGGAATATCACAATTTACTGCGTGTCTTTTGAAATTTGATGAAATAAAAACATATTTTGAGTGTTTGAATATTTGAACCTTTATTTATTTGTATAAATATAACAAACAAAATATTTGGCGAACCCTTTCCTGGAACCCAACCTGAAAAAAGAGACTGCATGTTTCTTTGGCAACGACTGAGCTAGCTGCTGAAACAAACTAAAATTTTTATACAAAAGGGTAACAAGAGTAAGTAATTTAGCCATCATCTATATCAACAGGCATCTACAATCTCTACTTATCCTTTCAAAAAACTAAAATATAAATATAAATTATTATAATAATTGTCGCCGACAACGTGAAGCGATTTGGAAAGGGCAAATTTGAAGGTAGATTGTGAGTTTGATAGAAGTCAAGAGTGTGATTGGAAAGAGTGAAAGATTTTAAAAGAGTGTAAGTTTGGAGAATAATTGAAAATAGAGAAAATGGATTTGAGGGACAGAAAACGTACAGGTGTGAATGAAGAGAGTGGAGATCATGGGAAAGACAGGTGGAAAAGGAGAATGAGCAAGGAGCAAGTGGAGAGAGCATGGCATTTGAAAATCAGATACAAATGTTAATGCAATTTATATTGAATAAAATAGAGAATGTGCAATATCCTTTGTTTCTAGAATCACCAAGAAATATGAACACAATTACAGTGTAACTGAATTAGAACTAGCAAGCATAATATTCTGTATAAATAAGTTGAGATTTTTCTTACTTGGAGAAAAGTTCTTCATTGAAACTGACCATGAGGCATTGCTTTCTATTGTAAACTGTAAATGGGCTAGTAATAGAATCCAAAGATGGGCATTGCTCTTACAAGAATATAAATTTGAAATCAGACATATACTAGGACGACAAAATATAGTTACAGACACAATAACTAGAATGGAAACTAACAAGACTAACAACACTAGACAAATTAAAATAGGGGTAAATGTATTTAGGAACAAGACGGGACTTCACTCACTACAAACAATAATACAAGACCAAAGAACACTCACTGACAAAGAAAAGAAGGGAACAATAGACAAAGATGGAATTATTATTAAAGTATTTGATGGGGAAGAACTCTATATGATAACAAAAGGACTCACACAGAAAATTATTGACGAAATACATCAAAAATACGCACACATGGGAATTAGAAAAACATGGATGACATTTAGGGAAAACTACATCAGCAGAAAAGACATAGAAACGACAAAAGACATCATAAACAAATGCAGACTATGTCAACTAAGGAAAAACAAGAACATGACTAACAAGAACGAACCTAGGAGTATTATAACACACAGACCACTACAAATAATTTCTATGGACTTTATCAGCAATTTAATAACCACAGACAACAACAACAAACACATATTCATAATTACAGACCATTTTTCCAAATTTGTAAAACTATATGCAATGACAAAGACAAATTTCAAAATAGTAAGACAAAATTTAACTTACTACATACTCGAATTTGGAAAACCACAACAAATTATTCTAGACAATGCCACTTATTTCAACAATGACAAAATGAAAAGATTGCTCAGAGGTCAGATATCAAACTGAACTTTACAAGTATTAGGCATCCAGATTCAAACCCTACAGAAAGGTACACACGGGAAGTTATAAAATATTTAAGAATTGTTTCACAAGAAAACCACAGGAAATGGGATGAAAAGTTGCATTTAGTGGAGAACTATCTTAATGAAGTGCCAAATACAGTTACAGAGGAGTGTCCAAAATACATTATGACTGGAAGAATGCCTGAGAGAGAATGGGTGAAGAATGAAAGAGATTTGGATGAGAGTGAATGAGAGGATACAGAGAAATGCTGGTAAATATTTGAGCAAAAAGAATAAGCGAAGGAATAAAAGGATAAAATTCGAAAAGGGAGAATTAGTGATAATCAAATCATTAAAAGTGCCGAATGAAAGGAGAGGTATATGTGCCGAATGAAAGGAGAGGTATATGTGCGAAATTACAACTACCATTCGAAGGTCCTTACGAAATTGCTAATGAAAATCCAAAAAAGAGTTGAGTTGAGAAATCCTGTGGATGGAAGTTTGAGGGGAATTTTCAATATAGAAAGTATATATAAATTCCAAACATAACTCAAGAATTATTTGAATTATACCTATTATGATTATTCAATTAATGTACACTTTAGGAAAGAATTTAACTTTTGCAGAACCAGCTCTTGAAAAAAAATTATATTAGTGTAGAAATTGTACAGAAAAGGCTAAATATTTCACCTGAACTCTATAGTACCCTATTTTCAAGCAGACAGCCATACAAACCCAAAGAACCATCACACAGTACTAAAAAACATAATTTCCGAAGCAAGTTTAGTTCATTCCGCAACCTTCTTTCGCATTAAAATAAACCAACAGCTATCAGTCAAATTAATCTGGAAAAACAACAATATTTTTTGATTATATAGCAAAAGTAAAGTCCACAGATTAGGCAGAACCAATAAATTTGCAGAAAAAAGTAATATGAAAGAACTCAGGTAGGTATTTGAAAATCTCATCTAAATTCTATGCACAAGTGTCAGAATTCGTTAATATGGCAATTCTTATAGAAAAATAAACATTGCATAATTTTTGACAGAGCCCAAAAGATAGAATAAATCACATATCCTTTATAAAAGCAAGTTCAAATTGTGATATTTGCTACATAACCTAGATTAGAAATTAGTCATAAGAATTTTCTGTACAAATTAGTGAATAAGAATAGTCTAAGCCCATAGAAACTAAAGTGCGTGGAAAAAGTGAAATAAAATTCGCGAGTGCCGTGAAAAGGACGCGTATGACAACTTAGCAACGGTAGTTGTGTATTGAGGAGATTTTGTACCGGCATTTATAAAATTATCAAATTGTAAAGAAAAACTACAAAAACTAAGCAAAATCCAAGTTATATCCTCTCAAGAAAGGTTCACTATAGCAGGGTAGTAAAATTTTCACCTGATGAGCAGATCCAGAGAAGAAAATCCTGGTTGAAAAACTTCACCACTCTAGACCATATCGTCACTTGCATTTGCCAAGGTATTTATTCCATATCATCGTTCGTGGAGAACTTCCTTGAATTTTTGAGGTATTTATTTGAAGCCGGAACTATTACAACAGTTTTCTTCAAACATTTAAAATCGTGCAAACCAAATAAACCTTCATTTCCTCGCACCAATTTCCTAGAGAACTTTTTTACGCCCTTCTTCCGAACTTTCAAGTCATCTATATTCGATATTGACTGCTATTTGTAATTATATTTGTAAAATTTCATAATTTTCTGTAAAATTTTCAACATAACCAAAGAATAACTCATAATTCTTCAAAAGAACGTTTAGAAATCTATCCCGAGCAGAACGCTTTCAAGTTTGTTGAATATTCTGATAGAGTGCGTTCGATTTATAGCTTGACTCGGAACTTAAAATTCTTTGGTTATTAGCATTCAGTTAAACCTGATATTAGCAAGCCATTAGATAAGTTATGTAGCGCAGAGTAGGTAAATATAAGAACCACATTTGGGAATATCACAATTTACTGCGTGTCTTTTGAAATTTGATGAAATAAAAACATATTTTGAGTGTTTGAATATTTGAACCTTTATTTATTTGTATAAATATAACAAACAAAATATTTGGCGAACCCTTTCCTGGAACCCAACCTGAAAAAAGAGACTGCATGTTTCTTTGGCAACGACTGAGCTAGCTGCTGAAACAAACTAAAATTTTTATACAAAAGGGTAACAAGAGTAAGTAATTTAGCCATCATCTATATCAACAGGCATCTACAATCTCTATACATATATATATATTCGTCTGTCCCCTCTCTCTCACTAAGAAAAGCAGTCAAATGTCAAATTATACTGAGGGAGGGATGAATACGTTTTGAGTACCATAGTGTTAGCGTCTCTTCTGTAGCTATCTATCATTATTATCTTTTGTTTTCAGTTTTAGCATTCAATATTCAATGTTTCCATTCATTTGAACTTTAAATAAAAATAATGGATAAGTGGCTAGTCAAATACAATAAATAACAATGAAATAATAAAAAATAATAATTTTAAAACTTTTGAGGGAAGATAAAAATGAAACTTCTGCTGTGAGTAATGATTCATCAATGTGTGAATCAGTACCTTCCACTCGCATAGAGAGTGAAGAGATACCTGTAGAACATGAAATTGAAATCGAAGAGGAATTCTCATATACTTCAAATGAGGAAAACGTGGAACCCACTATTTCGAAAAAACGAAAAGTGCTCAAGAGGCATAGGATAAATAAATATTGCCAATCCTTAAAGAAACTCCAAAATTCCAGTGAACATAAAAAAAGTGGACATGAACTAGCTCATTGTAAAATTTACAATAGTTACTTTACGGCCCACAAAACTAACATCAAAAGGCAAAAATTATCTGAAAAACATGTATATAACATTGCACAGGTGTCTAACACTCCAAAAATAATTGCGTTGGTAAAAATGTTGAATAGAATAAACAAATCAGAAGATCGGAACTGAAAATATGTTCATTATTAGCAACAAATAATCTACCTTTCTTGTTGATGGACACGCGTTGTGTCCCTTACTTGGAAACCTTTTCCCTGATTCTGAAATTACCAAGAAAATGGCACAAGACGCACAAAGTCAACTCAAATAATGAAAAATGTATTGAGAAGTGAATTTGAAGATACACTGAATAGTGTGTTACAAAATACCTTTTTTTCATAATTGCAGATGAAACAACAGTAGGAGCATTGTAAAGCAGTGTGCATTCACCGTCATTAATATTATATTGAAAAACAATCAGTTCTGACAATTTTTTTTTGATATGGTTGATTTGAAATCTTGTAGAGCAGACGACCTTTTTAATTGTTTGAAAAATATTAAGAAAAAAAAACATTACACTACAAAATTTGGTGGGTTTTTGTTCTGATACAACAAATGTAATGTTTGCCATGTTTGGAGAAAGAAATTCTGTATTCACGTTTTTGAAAGAAGTTACTACCTTATATTGTTTGTATGAAGTGTTTCAGTGTTTGTGCCATATAAGATTCACCTTGCTGCATCGCAAAAGCATGTTTGACACTTCCCAGAAACATCACAATACAAAATTTGGTGGGTTTTTGTTCTAATACAACAAATGTAATGTTTGGAGAAAGAAATTCTGTATTCACGTTTTTGACAGAAGTACTACCTTATATTGTTTGTATGAAGTGTTTCAGTGTTTGTGCCATATAAGATTCACCTTGCTGCATCGCAAAAGCATGTTTGACACTTCCCAGATCTGTTGAGGACGTATTGAGGGATATAGGTTCCCATTTTCACCGCAGTTATGCAAGAGTAGTGAAGTTTCAGGAATTTCAAGAGTTTTTTCAGAGTGAAATTCACAGAACATTGGATCCTGCTAACACAAGATGGCTGTCAGTAAAAGCATGTTGATCGTATTTTAGAACAGTATCTTCCTCCTTCCTCTGAAGGAAAATACTGATCTACTAATCCCTCAAAAACCACAAAAGATATTTTAGCCACACTTGTAAACAGGTTTACCAAAGTTTACATTGAATTTGTGTCTTATGTTTTGTTTCTTTTCAGGGAATGCAATTTTCTGTTCCAATCGGAAATACTTTTGCTCCATGAGCTGAAACCAGGATGTGAAATACTACTGAAGACTGTGTAGTAAATTCAAATCAGTAAAATATTTGAAAGATTGTAATATATTTGATCCACATAGAATTAAAGGATATTTATTTATCTCTGTGCCTGAAAATGTCAAATGTAGTTTTAATGTGAAACAAAACTTTGTTTTTGTAGTCACGTTTTATTAACGCTTCAAACTGTAATTCTCTGGAGACAAAATTCAAGTGCTTTTGAATGTGTCAGAATGGGGTAAAGTGCGGGTATTTTGAAATAGTGCGCGGGCAAAATCGGGTCTTTTGGTTGAATGGTATGGGTATTTTGTAGATGTCATTGGCAACACTGATAGGAGAATACCCGTGCACTGTTGCCAAGTTTCGCAGAATAGCCACACTTTTGTATGCATTTACCTTAACATCTGGAAATAAATGTTTGAGTAGATTTCAAGACACTGTTGCCACAGCTACCCCGTACGGGGTAGTTCTACCCCTCTTGAACTTAATTTCACCCTCTTGCTCCCCTCAAGTAAATCTACCCCGCTCAGATATAAAGCAAAAGAATGTAAAATGAAAAAATTAACAAATATTTGAGGTTTGATTTTGAATCTACCGCGTTACACGAGCCGAGTACCCGTGGCAAAGTTGGCGTAGACTGAGTGTCTGGCTTCGCTGGCGGTGGTTCCTTGGGTTGTCTTACTGTAAGACTTTTACACCGATAGTTCCGAATATGTGACTGAGTACTGAGTTAAACTACAATGCTCTTCTGCTCTTCCAATGATACCGAGTGCCGTGCTCATGTCTGTGCGTGTGAAATGTTATTTGATGTTTGTGGCATGACATTCGACCCCGGTTCTACCCCGCTCCCTTTCAGAAATCTACCTCGATGAAAATATAGCTTGTGGCAACACTGTTTCAAGGGTGTCTTAAAGATAAAAGAAATGAAAGATACCAAATGCTCATCGATGTCTTTGATTTCTTGAAAAATATTTTTGGCATTTTTTGCTGAAACTTTCGTTAATGATAGATCATCGATATTTATTTACCAAAATGCTACAGATAAATTATAAATTTATAATATTTGCATGATTTAATCAATTTGTAGTGCCGTTGGAAGTTTGAGAAAACTAAAAAAATGTGTTTGATATTTTTTGTAATATTTCAGTAAACTGAGAATGCTCGTTTCGTTTTCACCAAAATATAGCACATTTTTCATAGATGACATAGGTATACAAGATCAAATCAATTTGCAATTCCGTCGGGGAGAAATAAAAAAAAACGATTTTTTTGACATATAGGTACATGTATTATTTTGAAAGGGATGAAAATAAAATATGCACAGGTCTAGTTCCATGACCCTGAACATGGAATGAACGTAAAAAAAATCAGCAATAATAACAATCATGACACTAGAATTGTGCTAGAGTATATGGAATTCAAGATTTTGGTAATGTAAATTTTGAGGTAGAGCATTATGATGACAATTTCAATAGATGATATTAAATAATTATTGAATATTAGTTTTTGATATATAGCCTAAATTTGAGACATTTTTTGGAAAATCTTTAGAACAATTCCTATGTCACAAAAATAGTCAAGAAATAACTGATGTTTGGTAGCACATTTGTTGTATCAGCTGCAGGAAAAGTCCAAAACTTACAGCACTAAGTACCAAAAAGTTTAATGAAAATAAACATATTCAAAAAAATATAACTCAAGATTCTTAAAATCAACATACTTTGAAATAAACACATTTCACATAAAGAAAATGAATAATAAATGACAACCCAATATATTGAACATAAAGTGCAAATACAAAGTTTGTATGGAAGACCCTTTTTCCTTTAATCATATTCACAAATAATCATACCAGCGTGACTAATTCTCTGCTAAAAGCTGCATGTTAGTTCAAAACATAATTGAGACACTCCATTTTTACAAAACAAACATTTCTGACTCATATCATGGGAAGTTCTAATGATAATTTCCTTTAAACTGTAAGTAATTATTATTTTTCATTCTTCCCATTCACACACATATTGAAAAAATATATAATAAAAACCCACTTGCTTATCATGTTCTTAAATTTCAATTGACCCTTTTCAGTATTCAAATGAAATAATGACCAAATTCAACGCCAGAACCACAGTGAACAATGGCTGCATGAATATTATAATAGTGGTCTGCTGGTTCCGTTAGAGGTTGAGTCTTTTTTGAAAATCATCAGTGTTATTATTAGATTGACTGGTGCCTCAGCTATTCTTTCGATCATCACCTGTTAAAAATTCCATTTTCAGATAATTTAACAATAAGCTTTGCATGGACTGGTTATTAGTCATATTAGGAAAAGCTAGATGAAGTTCCAGAAATTCACATAAGTTTTTGGTACTTCTTGAACATTTACCACAGAGTAAACAAGTGAGGATTTTTCCAACAAAAGATTTACAAACACAAGACGAGATGGGCTGTACGGAATCATTCAGTCCAGAGCGGTCAGGAGTATTGATTTTGCTATTGTTTTGCTCACGAAGAGTATTCAACAAGAACCCCAAGAATTCGGAACAAACCTCTTGTTGTCCTAACGAGTATCTAGTGGACTTCAAAGACTCCAGGAAATCGGTTGGAGGGAAAGATGATACCTTCTTACGAAACTGCAGCTGCATGAACAGGTGTTTGAATTTGATGAATAAGTAGGAAACATTCCCGTTCTCATTCATCATTAAAACTTCGTTCTTGAAATTCTTCGTCATGAACAACATTTGTAAAATGCTATTCATGTAGCAAGTGTTTCCTAAATTATCCAATCCAATTTTCTTCTCTAGATTTTCAGAACAACTATCTGCTGATTCGTAAGGAAGAACATGTTTTACAGAATCTCCATAAGAACCATTTCTCAAGCTGCGATCGATCCTTCCAAGTGAAGAAGGGTTTCGTAGAGGGATCAATTCGGCTCTTGCTTCATGAAGCTCTTCCACTGAAAGGGATCAATTGGCAAACAAGCATATTCTGGTAGCCAGCATACAGATTACAATTTGAAATGTTTTTTCAGCATCATTAAATATGTTCAGGCAAATGATGATAATAATAAAAGATGTTATTGGTATAATCAAACTAAAATAACATAGGGCCAGAGAAAATGTCCTACAATGAAATTTGTTCCCCAAGGTTATTTCCAAATTTTCATTTGTAATTTATTTCACTTCACAATTGAAACTAGGAAAATATGAAATATAGTAATTTTGTCCAATGTTTATATAATATTCTGAAACAGCAACTACTCGATTTGGTGATTTAATCAGTTCATTTGCAGGTTTCCATTCAACAAATATAGTTGTAACTACTGACCTCTGAGAGACTTGGAAGCATCATTAAATGAAAAAATATGTTCAATTTAGGAAACATTACTCCAAAAATGATCACTTCTATACATGTGTTCTACTTCAACATCCTCCGATATCCAAATTACACCAAAATCTGTCAGCCTTTGAATGTGATATTGATATTTGTAATTTTTCAAAATAGGTCTGGAACTCTCATCGCAAAGGGTTATTTGACCAAGAAAGCATGTCTCATTGGGATTTGAATTTCTACACGAATAAGGTACATTTAACCTCAACCAAGCCATCATTGTCTATAAACCCATCTGGAAATCCAGCAATGAACTGATATTCTTTATGAATTATCAAACCAGAAAGATCACACTTGTTGCTAGTTATTGCTTTATATTCACTAATAGTTTTCTTTTCAAATTGTATGCCATGTCTGATTGCTAGATTAGATTCAATATTTTTTGGATTAGAAATGCGCTCAAGATATTTATCAAGCTATCTTCACTTTTACTTAGACAAATATTTCCAAAATTAGATGAAGTAACTTTGCTTAAACCACAAGTTTGTATGTCCCATTTCCACGTTTGAAGGTTTATCTTCATGAATTTTGATACATACCAAATGAATCCAGTGGTCACATTTGTCACATTGCACCTAATCAGTCTGGAATTCCAAGTCCTTTTACAATGAATCAGTTTCTTCTTAATACTGGTTGTGTTTGTTGCGAAATATAACCCAAAACAATATTAGTATTGATGACTAAAAAGATATTTTTCCTGAATTAACTTTCTGTCTTTCAATATTACAAAAAATTCGTCTGGGTTGTTCTCTTCTTAAGAACAGTTTTTGTAATTGAAAGTTTTATAATCAATATAGATCACATTTTTTCTACCTTTCTGTTTTCTCTGTGTTTTCAGGTGAGGATATCGACAGATTTTGGAATAAATTAATTGTTCCCAACGTTTGAAATAAAAGATTTTCTTCAGAAATTCAGTTCTCCAAAAGTAAAAATAGATATCGTTCTGCTTTTATTACTCTCAGTAGTCCTTCCAATGCTAATTAACTTCATCGATTGTTTCATAGGAGTGGTAAATGAGTATTTATGCACTAACAAATTGAAGTTAAACATAACAAAAACAAAAGCAATGGTATTCATCACGAAATATAAATACAGTTCTCTAGATATCAATGGTATAAATCTCAATATCAATAACGAAAAAATTGAAGTTGTGTCATCACACAATTGTGATGACACAATTGTGTGGATAATTTTTTAAATTTTGACAATCACTTTGAATATATACATAAGAAAATATCGAAAAAACTATATTTTTTCAGTAGAATAGCACAAAATTTGTCAACGCAGTCCAAAGTAACAGTTTACAATACCATTATTCAACCACATTTTGATTATTGTGCGTCATTATTATTTTTATTTAACCTCAACAAATTAAATATGCTACAAAAACTACAAAATCGAGGGATGAGAGTAATCTTGAAAACAAATCGCCGTACTCCCATAAAAAGCCGTACTCCCACAAAAAGTATGCTTGATTGTTTGAATTGGTTATCAGTTGAAAGTAGACTCTACTATTTTACAATGATTCTAGTATACAAAATTGTAAATGGAATGGCACCAGAATATTTTAAAGATTACATCAAATTCAATAAAAACATTCATAATTATAATACAAGAAATTCCAATAATACACATATAAACAGACCGGCATTCGGAAGTACCATGAATTCGTTAATTTTTAAGGGCTTTCACGAGTTCAATGAATTACATGAAGAAATAAAAAAATATCCATTTCA